TTTAATAGTAATCATTAATTTGTTAGTCCATCAATAAAATTTGACTGTAAAGAAAGTGTTCTATAATGATTTAAGAATATTTTGCGAATAAATTAAAAAAATTTACTGTGAGACGATCATTTTTTGATATTTTTCATTGAATTTATGCATTTTTAGCATAAGTATACTTCCGTAACCTTTTATAAAGCTTCTATTAGTAGATAATTTCTTTTAACTAAAGAATATTACATTTTGTTATTATTTATTTAGATTCCGAAGTTAATAATTTCTAAAAAAAACTTTTTCAGGATGAAATATCATAGCAATGCAGCTCGATGAAATTCTTGCCGTAGAAAAATCAATTTTATGTATATCAAATATATAGTTTGTTCTTAAAGTATTCATATTTGAGGAAAATTCATATTGCTTGGCATATCTGCGTGGCACGAATGCGATAAAATAAAAAAGATTTTTTTAACTACATAATTGCACATAACTCAATATTTCATGATTATGACGTTATGAAATATCTTCGAGATCGAATTTATAGCTCAGGAAATAATAAAGAAGATGAGTTTATAACGGACTTTTTTGTGAAAAGATATTAGATATTCCTTACGAATCCATTGCCTTTATAGAATATAATGTGATTTATAATGTTTGCACAAGTCAAGCATAACAATCTAAGCCTCCTTACGCGAAAGTAAATCTTCGTCTTAAAGAACTCTTATAGAGCCTTGAAATTAAATTCCTAAAGAAAGTTATTAAAAACGCACATGGGTTGTTTCACAAACAACAGTATCAAGTAGCTCTTTGTAACTATTAGAATGTTTTTGCAACTATATACGTATGTAAGCAAAAATTTAACTAAATTATTTTGTAATATAATATACTTTGTGTAATTTTATGATAACGAGAATGAAAGAAAGAAATTTCATTCAGGTGCGTGATAAATGACCGCTTTTTTGCATATTTCTTTCTACTTTTACTACAAACATTATTTTCTCTTTAACCACTATCTTAATTTTTTATTTTCATTTTTAAAAATATATATAATACTCTTTTCTCTTTTACTTTTTTATATCTATCTTTGTCAAGCTTTGAATTAATTTTACTTTTAACATTATAAGAAATTTTGCCTCTCTTTTCTCTTCTTTCTATCACACTAGTAATTTAATAACTCGTGTAAAAATGGAAGCAAAGAGATATCAAACGTACTCGGCATCTGGAAGATTGATATGAGAAAAAAATATGAAAGAAGAATATAGAGTATTCGCACATGTAAAATCATCGCTGTCGTGAGATCCTTGTACGGATAGCTTTGACAATTTTCGATCAAAGGAAACGTTTTGCGAACGCACGTGTTGCTGGATTTCTTATTTAATAACGAACTTTTTTATGACCTCAATTTTATGACTGGAAAAGGTACATAACGATTTCACTTTTAGAGCAACGACATTCTTGAGAGAGACGCCTCGATAGTAAAAATTCCTATAAACAACGATGTTATCTTTGCGAATTCAGCATCCGACTGATGAACGGGCGAAATCTAGACGATGTTATCGTCCGCTCTACTGCTGCCAATAGCACTATTCATTGTAGTATTGAACACTAAAACTACTCAATGCCTCCCACGTGCTACATGCACGTCCGATCGCCTTTACACCGGTATTCATTCGCGCAATGGCGTACTTCAGGCGAATACGTAGGGTTCATTTTTACGCGTTTCAAATGCGAGATCATTCCAGAATAGGAATTCTCGCAATATCACGTAAGCGTGGTAAAATTCTACGTGGTAAAATTTTCCTGGAAAATGCGTGTGAATAAAAGCTCATAAAATGCTCTTTTGAAAATGTGAATATTAAAAGATATTTTATGTTGAATATTAAAAGATATTCACAATTTGTTTCTCAATTGTTAATCTCAAATAACGTAATCATTCTATGTCTGTTTGGTGTCAGTTCGCGCAACATGTTCATGTATTGAGAATGTTGAGTTCTAAATCGTTACTCAATATTCCGCTCACACATTATGTGTGAAACAATACGCTTATCGATCGTCAGAGTAAATAAGATCGAGCATTGAAACATTTCGTGATATCGTTCTAACGTTCTCATTTATTAGCATTCGTCGCCGTGAAATTGAAAAATATACGAAACTGTGGTGATCACCAAGCTTTTATTATCATAACGTCTCTTATTTGCTTACATTGTATGACTTTTTACAATAATCGACACATTAAATGTACGGTAGCTAATGATATACATTACGATGTAAGTTTATTTATGGATTGTGCTACAACACGTGTATTTGCATATTATAATATTTTTCTGTAAATAACTCTGACGTTAATTAACAAAAAATGTAGGCATACCTCGTGAAGTTGTATTAAAAGTAAAAGTTGTAAATTCAAATATATATCCGTGAAGCAATATAAAACTTTTGTTAACAGATATGGCCATATATTTAAATTTCTCATTTTTAAATACATTAGCGATGAAGTTAGAAATAAACTACATCAATAATGAAAAAAATCTCTTTTAGATAAAGACCGAGACAAATATTTCAATAAATATATTTCAGACTGTGATAAAAAAATGTTCTTAGGCTTTGAAACTTTTTTGCTTTAAGCTCGTACACAGTCTCCTTAGTAAATAAGCTTTAGAAAGTTTAAAGGGATTGTTAGTGTAATGCTAGTCAGTTGTACGTATCTCTGAGAGTCCGTGATGTTGTTACAGCTTTAGAACTTTAGTGAACAGAATATACGTATTAAACGTTAACCAAAATAGGAATAACATGTTTGAATGTAACTCTGGTTGTATGACGTAATGTTTTAAATTACATGTGTTTAATAAAATTGCTTAATTATAAATATTGAATAGCTTTAATAGGTATTAAATGTACGTCACATCTACAATATTAAAAGATATAAATGTGCTCAAAATAAAATTTTCTTATAAGCCATTTCCCTAAAAAATGCGAGTAAAGATTATACATTGTATATAACATGTATACGTATGTAAGATATAATCCGCTTTATTTATATTATATATAGATATTACATATAAAAATCAATAGCTTTAATAACGATTTTTGCGAATATGGCTCTCGAATCCGCAAAATTCTCACGAAAGTCAATCACCGGGTGCCACGTTGGACCAATTCACAGGTCATTTGGATATTATCGCCGAAAATGAAAATAAAAGTTGTCGATAAAACTACGTCAGAGTTAAATGCGATCGGAAGCTCTCGATCAAACGTGGCGACGAGCCGTCAATCGAAGCAGCCGTCCGTCGAAGATATTGAACGAATGTCGATTGAATCGCTTTCCTATGAGATTGCAGAATTCTTATTTCACGTAGATTCCAACGTGCAACGTGAAAGCATGATGAGGAAAATTATGCCTATAGAAATTATGCAAAGCAGCGATCTCATTTTCCTACATCAAGCTTCCTCTCTCATTCTTTTTCTCATTTTCTCTATTCTTAATTCACATTTTTTTCACCACTGGCTTTCATCGGGCGATCGAAAATGTAACAAGATCGTACATTATAGATAATTGCACGAACACTAACGTGGCTACTCTTCGGCATTTTTGATTGGCTGACGAAAGTTAGCGGTAATCTTGCGAGAAAATGTAAATTAAAAATAAAAAAAAATAAAAAAAAAGAATGAGAGAGAGAAAGCTTAACATAAAAAAATGAGATCGCTGTTTTGCATAATAATAATTTCTATAGGCATAATTTTCTTCATCATGCTTTTACACTACGCGCTGGAAATTAATAAATCTTATCTCCTCTAGATGATATGCTCGTTTACAGTTTATATCTTCTTTAAAGAAGAGATGATCTTGTGGATGATTTAGCCGCAAATTTATATTTTCCGAGAAAAGCCAGCTGCGCCTTTTGCAAGCAAGCGCAATTTTCCTCGGAGAAAAAGCCGGACGATTGCTTCGATGATCGATTACCGTGACACGATTTTTTTCGTTTTTTTTTTCTCAGCTTATTCTTCCTCTCGGTTTCTCATCATCGTCTTTTCCGCTTATTTCTCAGTTTTCTGTTTCTCAACGGAACGCGCTTAACCGTCCGGAAGCTATTCTCTCACGTGCAGTTATTGACCTACTGAATTACTATATGTGCCTAGACTCGACGATGTACTCTTTCTCGGATATGAGATAATGCACAACGCCCAGAAGGTCGACAACTATGCCAATATCTAAAAAAGAGAGAATAGAGAATGAAGAAGAGAGAGAGAGAGAGAGAGAAAGAGAAAAGAAGGTGACTGCCCGTCTTTATGATAAAAGGAAAAGAAATACTCGTAGAGATATCACGAGCTCTGCTTTCAGCTTCGCTTTATGTCGGCTTCTACAATGGCCTGTACAATTTGCCGAGCTGAATACGAACGACGCTGTTCCACACCATATACCAAAAGATCGCAGTCAGCCATTTCTTAATTCGTTTGACTTGAATCTCACGTCTCTTTTGAGCCGAAGACGCCTTTTCAGCCGTACAATTATCTATGTACCATCGTTGATTTCGAGAAAAATCGTCATCGTTATCGACATTTTCGATACGTCGGCATCTCAACGTAATAGCGAATCCGGTAGAAATCCGACGAGACAGAAATAATGTTAGACAGGGACAATACCTCGACGACGCAGTTAATGCATTCTTCTGATAGTTCGAACATTATTCGAAGTTTTACAGCTCCGCGCCGGCATTACATCCCGACTCGAGGTTTATCGCCTTTCTAGAAGATGATATACGCACCTTTTTTTCTATCACGATCTCGATAATCATACTATGCGTTCGCGCTTCAACTCAAGCTTTTAGCTTAATGAAAGAATGGGCCATTAAAATTTATTCGAGGTTCTATTTTAAGTAAGCTGACTGTACACGGTGACTGTATACGCTGACATCGACGTGGACTAAATTCATAATTAGAAACGCGCGACTTGTAAATCTTAATTCCTAAACTACAAGATTACATTAATGGCATATTTGCAGAGAGAAATTACTCACTTATTAATTTTACGAATCGTCTGCTTCAGCGCAGGAAAATCCGGTCGGTCCGCGGCCTCTTGCGCCCAACATCGTCTCATTAGAGTAGCTACCTGTAAAATGATATTCGTTTCTTAAATTTATATTCTTCTTTTCGGTCAAAACGACATTTATCATTTTTATAATTTTTTAAATAATTTTATATTCTTCTTTTCGATAGTACTTAAATACGTACTTCTATGTGAATTTGTATTCATTCTAATTTTGTATACCCCACGCCGAAATATTTTTCGGTCTTATTTGTGTAAACAATTTAATAAATTTAAAATATATTTTAAACAGGCAAGCAACTAATAATATATGTGTTAATAATATGTTGAATTATATGAATATTTTATGGTAATATACAATTGATAATGCTAATGAATGACCCATTGATTATCATGTACAAATAAATCTTGCATATATATAAATATGAATATGCTAATATAAAAAAATATTTGCTAATATGATATTTACCTCTTCTTCAACGGAAGCGGCGTCTATTACAGGCCTTAAGGGTGAACCACCACCTCTTCTAATACCTTCTATTATTTCTGCAACAGAGACGAAATGTGTCGCATGACATCAAAGTTCACAGGGCAATGTAAAAGAATCTCTTTATGAGAAACAAAAAATAGAAAGAAAGAAAAACGCGTGGAAAATAATGCGTCTGTTGGGCATAAAATATCGATTGTAATGTGCCACCTACTCTGTAGGATGAAATAACATGTTAAAAAACAATTGACGCAACACCGCGAAATATTTCGCAATATTTCAATTATTCAGAATTATAATGTCCCCATATGTATTCGCGCAAAACTATGTCTGTGATTCAGTGAGTCCGCGTTTATGTCAGACGATGATGTTTGCTTAGTGCGAGGAACTTTCTCCTTCGTCCGCCTATTAGCGCGCTTCACTACTGCCCACGTATTATTTTAAAAAGCAACTAGCTACAAATTTTTCGTTGACCATTTGATCTAATTGAGTACAATCATTCATATCGATTTATTGGTGCATCTAACCCGCACATTTTTTCAATAAAGCATATTTACAGACTGACGTGAACATCTCGGAACAAACCATAAAACTACAGTACAAAATCTTATTGAAAATAATTTTTATTTTTGTCAAAGTTGAGAGATAGAAAGAGAAAGAGGAACAAACCGGATTAGTCTATGTTATATTTAAATATCTTCTCTTTGCTTATATAAAAGGCAATTTATTCTTATCTTGCGACATAGATTTCTTTTTATGAGAATTATACGAGTACAATATGCGGATGAGCGTAAGTTATTGAACATAACTAGAGAGAATCATTAGCTAGATAAAACTGTAAAAAATAATGACATTTACGGGCGTTCGAAACCATGTAATTATCGATAACAATCTATACTGTTAAAAATTTCATGAAATTTAACATATTTTTAAGTTACACAATTTGAACTTAATTTCATGACATTATATTAAATTGATGTACTTATAACTGAAAAGTATATTTGTGTACATGACATTAATGGCTTTTTCATGAAAATTTATGAAATTTAATGTATACGTTCATTACATTTAAATAACTATTGTAACTTAATTTTTAGTTAAATTTAAATCATTCATTACTTTTAATTTTGTTCATAACCACGAGCTTCTTACAGTCACTTACATGTAAAGGAAGCTCGTAGTTACATTTCTAACAGTGTACATTTTCTGATCATATAAATAGTATACGCCAATTTTATCGCAGATAAATACCAGAAAAGAATAGAGATAAATTAACATGTCTACATTTACCGAAACTCCGCCTTGGTCTAACTGCTAGCTGGTATATCTATTCCATAAAGTCACAGAATTAGTTAAACGGGTTTCTGGTGTAAACGTCAATATGAGAACCGAATTGAGGTAAATTGACAAAGGGAGATAAATGTATCAATGACAACAGAAATTTAATTCTCTTTTATAACTTGTATGTATTATACAAAGAGACGGAAATAGAATTTTACCGTAACCGTTACAGTAACTTTTTTACAATAAAAATTTTTGTTATTTAATGTCGGAGAATGTCTGAAACGCGAGCTACCTTTTATAATTAAAAACTGATTGAAACAATTATAATAACGTTTAATGTATATTTTTACTTTTTCTTGCTTTAATTAATAGTTCTTTTAATCTTATTCTTTTTTTTTTGTAGTTATAATTTTATTTAAAATATTAATACGCGTTTACATAAGCAAAACTGAAATAATATGACGAACAGAATCGAAATTAAATGAAAAATCTCGGTTTGAATAACATTCCATACGTTGTCCATACGAGAAAGGAAATATTTGCAAGCAGTATTTCATACAAAATCTTGAAATATATTTAGTTTGATTCCTGTATATCAATATCATATATTACATTCCTTGAATTCCTGAAATAAAAAATTCTACTAAATTAGTGATACATAATTTCTATTTCAAAAGAAATAAACAAGGATTCAACGAAATTAAAACAAGTGAGAAACACATTTTATAAATTAATAATTGTATATATAATGTAAAACATGGAAAGTATAAATAACGTATACAAATAAAACAGTAATAATTTAATGCATAATCATAAGCTATAAAAAGTTTTATAATATATGAGTGCACGCGCGAGTGTCGAAAAGTATTAATAAATTAAAATAAATAGAACATGTTGACGTTTATTGAAAGTAATATAAAATTTCAATCAAATTTAGTGACAAAATTACAGAGATGAGAGGCGTTTTTATGCTATTCTATTCCAATTACTAATAGGGCATTGCATATTTTATAAAATTTCTCTTTGACAAAACATAATCGACATTAATTTATAACATATATTCCTAATGAAAATTTTTTATACTCCGAAATCCACATAAATGTTACAAAATTTAGTTTTGTCCGAGGTTAATATTGAATGTTATGTTCTGGCGGATCTCTGGTCTCGGAAGCCAGAAAGTAATGTTACGTTTATGTTATGATTGATAGGATATCGAATTCAATCGCGGTTACAAGAAATCGGAACCCGTTGTTGCGCACCAAGGACAACGGACACATACTGTGCCTGTAGATGTCCTCGAGGAATAAGTTGCAGGATTCGCAGTTGAGAGTGCAATGAGGCCTGCGAACTTCGAGGAGAGGACTGACGGCCCTCCTAGGACTGGCCCCACCGTCGGGATTTGTCCCGACTTGCGACCCTTGTGGCAGAGTCAGACTGCTTGTGCTTGAGGCTAAACTCCTATCCGCCATTCTGTCTTCGTCCTCGAAGAGCCTGGCCGTCGATCAAGGGAGAGCCAAACTGCCTCGCCGGACAGCCCTTGAAAATTTACCGTTGCGATATCGGATTTTTTCTCCTCGTTCTCTTCCATTCCTTCGCATACGTACGCGTGCATGCGTGTGTGCATGCAGACACGCACGACATAAATGTATTATAACTGTATGTTCCGCCGAGTCGGCATACCCGATAAAAATTTATATGAGATAGTATTTTATAACCTGCGAATATATTTATACTATTTCCAAATTTCATATTCAAGATTCCTCCGGACGATCGCGAAATTTCGCAGTTGAATAATCAGATGTGGTGCATTCATGCGGAAAATCTGCTGAATATCGCGTGCTGTTTTTTGACAAATGGGAAACTGTTAGACAGCATTCTTCGATTATTGTAACGCACCGTAAAAAAAAGAAAATTTAAATACAGACAGAAAGGGACATTTATTATACTCAGATATAAATACTCAGATATAAATTATCTTCGTGATTTATACGTTTTATATGATAATTTTGTTACACAATCTTGAATTGTCGAAACATTTGTTATATAAATTTATATCATGTTTTTCACAATTAATTAAGGTATATTATTTTGGCATGCATAACAAACGTATATTTTGTTATGTTTATTTCGGATCTGTTGCAACAAACAACAAACATTTTATACAGAATTAATTCTCATTTACTGTTCAGCATATAAAAGAAAGTGGACTGTATTTGACGTACTGTGTAAACAGTATCTCTGGAAGTAGTTAAAACATTCTTCTTTCAAATACGTATTTATCTTATTTCGTACTAAAACATTACGTATTTTCCCGAGGAGCTAACATAGTATTTATTAAACATTGGATCGCTAAAGCACTTTATTTTTTCAAAAAAACCGCGTTAAAATTTCAGTTACTATTATATATAATTATTTATAATTATTCATTAATATTTCCGCAATGACCGCAGTTTCTGCAAATAATAACTATTATAACAATTCGATTAATTGAGCAATTAAAAAGATGGAAATTGTTAAAGAATTAGTTACGTTTCCATAAAAAAGTATAGTTGTAAAATATGTATTTAATAATATAACATCTAATGCCGAACAAAAATTGTCACGACACGTATATTTATTTAGATAACGTCCACCTTCTGTTAAATCGATTTGTAGACGTTACATTACAGAGCTTTGATGAATGAAAGCTATTATCCAAAAGCTTTCTTCAAAGTGCTCGAAGTTAAAATAAGTATGAGCTTAAAGTTTAATTCACGTATAATAATATTACGGTCGATTTATTCGATGGAATTTCGTAGAAAACTTACATCTTGTCGGCCTTGAATTGTTGCGTTTGACTTTGATTTCTTTTCCGTCGGTTTCTTTTTAATCCTTATGTGATCATTTTATGACCAACGATCCTATTTTCGTTCGAGTTCACAACTTCACACTTTCGAAATTTCGTCAAAAGATACATCAATTTTTGTGAATAGTCGCGGCCATTAAACTGAATTACACGTAATCTGCGTTTAATAATTCCCCGTTTCAAGATATATCCAAAAATAAAAAAAAAGGAGAAATTTATAGCATTTTATTTAAATGGAAAAGTAAGAGGGTTATTGAAGATTATTGAAAATAATTAAAATTGAAAATTAATTAAAAGTGAACTGATTTCTGGAAACAATTTTGACAAGTAACGAATCGCTTCATTAAAATACCAAACGCAAATATATTCTTATCTCCGTTATATATAAAACAAAATAGTTCCCGAAAATTACTTGGATTGGCTATTCGATCTTTTCCAAGGTTTAAGATATAACCTGCAGTTTCTCTTTCGCCTTACCGGGATTTCGCCGCATTAGGGAAACACTCGCGTTTATCGCGATAGCTGAGTTCATCCCGGATCTCTGTCTTCACTTCCACTAACCCCATTAAGCCTTGTCTTATTGTATACGCTGATTTTAACTTTCCAGCACTAATCACTACACGACATGCCATATCTTCCACGCAACCCGTTCATGGAACGAGGAAATTAATTTGTTCATATCGCTGTTTTTGTCGGTGACCAAAAAATGTCTCGCGGAATTAATAACCGCAAGCAACGAGCTCGTAACCTCGATTTCACCGCCGAGTAAATTAGCATGAACGCTTTTCATCGTTATCCTCCAGTCGGGACACATTTTGCAAGTAAAATGTTCATAGTACAAGGAACTTGATAGTGTAACGTCGATATCGATATTGAATATATATATATATATATATTATATATACATAGGGTGTCGCGAAAGTTTTTGCCAATCGCTTTTGTGTAGATAGAGCGGACTAAACTGAGTCGAAAAGTCCTCTACTATTTTGCAATTTTCACAATAGTTAACAAGATATTAATTACTAAAAATTACCATATATTGGTCTTGAATAATTTTTTACTCAAATACTATCAACTTTATAGAAAAGCTGCAAGAGACAAAAATCATTTATTTTCTTCTCATAAAGTTCTGAGAACTTTTTCAAAATTTTTTCAAAATTTTTTAATACGTATTTTCTCACATTAATAAAAATAAGAAAATGCATAACTAAAAAGTTGATAAAAAAATTCTGAAAAAATTCTTAGAGTTCTAGTATAATTCAAAATTAAGACTCTTCGGATATTACAGTAAAAACATTTTTGCCGAAAACATTGTTTAAATGATTGTAACATGAAGATAATATCTTTTTCTGAAAATAAAAACTCCGTTAAACTAAAAATTATATTTTCCTCTGGGAAATAAGTTTCTATCATGACCACATAAATAAGAATTGCGAAGGGGAAACTTCGGAAAGAAAGAAGAAAAGGAAGAACATACGAAGGTGACAAAAAAAGACACTGAATTGCATTCCAATTTCGCACTGTTGCAAGCATGCAGCAACAGGACAATAAAACGATCTGTCTATCGCGACAAAAACATTCTAGAGCAAAGTATATAATGTAAAAAGATAAAAGTTCCGTTCGTGTTAAGGTAAGAAATAGAGGAAGAAATAAAAAGCTGCATTGTACAGCGAACAGCCGGTGAATTCGCGCAGAAAATGTCGCAAAACGCGAAACAGGTCATTTACGACGCTGTCTGATCGGTTATGTGATCTATCACTTGTCGGATTACCACGCGCGCTATCTCGAGTTTCTCTCCTTGGCTTGTCAGCAAATCGTGTTCACTTTAACAGTTCAAACCGCATCGCGCGTACAAATGAAGTTAAATCCACCAGTGATACAAGTAAATGAATAATCCGACGCGTGTTAATACTCGTAATCAGTTGATATTGAAAACACTGTTAATAAATCTTTGATCCGCGAATTTATACTATCATCATTTTACTTTTTATATAACAGAGAAAGGATCACATTATTTTTTCCAATCTTATCAGATATTCATTCTCAACATTGTTAAGGAATTACTCCATGATGTGTGTGTGTGTGTGTGTGTGTGTGTGTGTGTGTGTGTGTGTGTGTGTGTGTGTGTGCGTGCGTGTGTGTGTTTGGAAACTCTTTTCTAATATAATAAAGAGTTTCCTTTCAAAATTAGGGACAATTCTGGGGGAAAAATAGGGTTTCTTTCTCTAACCCGTCGGGAATTTACTTTCTTTAGTGGAAGAACTTTAACACAGACGAGAGCTTTATTCCATTTTTTGGGGGATTTTTAATGTGGTCAGTGGCCTCTATCTCTCTACATGGTCACGAGATTTAATTTCGCACGCTGTTTTTCCTCATGTGCCATGATGCAACGTTAATTGCTTCCGCGCGGTTGTAACGCTGATATTACGGAGGTACGTCGACCCGGTGCAGCGGTCTTTTCGCACTCGGAATCGATACTGCCGCCGATTAACCGTTATACAACGTGAATCACACGATGAGATCAATTTTGCGAAGAATCCAATAGATTTCGACAACATATTTTGTGCATTTACATATAACTTATAAAAAAGAGAGAGAAAGATAGGAAAAACACGACGCGTTGTGTGCACACACGTTGTCGGGTATGCCGCTCGCCGGAAGATTTCTCCTTTCCATTTTAAAACAACACCTACGACTTCGTCTTTAGGCCGCAGACTGGGGCATAAGTGATGCCCGATGATTTCACGTATCGTCGCCGAGAGTACGTATTTTTTTTCTACCGAAGAGAAAAATGGATAAATGGGGAAAAAGGAGAGATAACGAGAATCTCGGCGGAGCGCGCGCGATAGTCGCGTGCGTTCTAGGACGCGTGAGAACTTCGACTGAGCTTTCGGACCTTACTTCGACATGCTCCTAGGAAACACATTCCGATCGATTCTCGCGGATAATTGTCGTGAGCTTGCAAGCTCTGAGCGAGAACTCCATTACCGATGGCGCGACCAACTATCGATTTCCCTAATGTTGAAAATGTGGCGAGCTTTAGTGGTAAAGCTCGAGTCGCTTTACCAGTATTACCGAGTGATCGACATCTAATAATAATCTAATATCGACATAGGTTAGATACATTTTTTCTTCCCTTCGAAGCCATCAGTCAATTGAATCGAGGTGTTCTTGCAAGCTTTGTTACCGAGCTTCGCTTTCCTAATCAATATTTGATAAGGTATTGATCAATGAGGATACATACTCGAATCTTTTAACTATATACTTTTTATAGATTAATTAATTATTTGTTTTATTTCATATATTAAAATGTATCGGCAATATTTTGCGCGAGAATAGATTTTCTAATTTTATGCAGTCTAATTCATATAAGAAATAAAACTTGAATGATTACTGAATAATAATTTATAATTACATTTTAATAACGTAAAATATATACAATCTACGAGACAATTGATATTTGTGATTTTGTTTTAATATGTAATTTAAACAATAATGGTTGCGTTTCGATATTCATTCTCAATATTAAAAATTTATAGTATACGTTGCCTATACTATAAACTGTCAGCACTAATAAATATCGGAACACAGCCAATTTTAACACTAGGGGCGGAATACATAGACATTGCTCAAGATCCGAGATGGTCTTAAGTTAATGCTTGAGATTTCATGAACCAATCAAAGAGCCGTATTACCATCTTAAGACATTACATGAGATGATCTTGAGATTAAGAACGGATTATGGAGTCTAGCAATTCGGTCTAGAATTGCGGATCTAAATTAATTCAATCGCGGTTCAAAGTAAATTTGATTTTTTACGATATTACCACATAAAAGTACAATTATTTTTAATTAATTATGATTATTTATGAATAATCACAAAAATTTAAAGCTCCACATACAAATCCAAATTAAATGAAAAAAAAAAAACTGTCAGATGAGTTAAAAATGGCATAACCGCGGTTCTAATATTAACAGTTTGTTCTGCGGAGAGCGACTGTTGGTAACGGATATCTAAATAGGAGCTTGCAAGCTCGATAGAAAAAGATTCTCGGGAAGCTTCAGCAAGTAATAATATCCAGCGGCCGATAAAATGGTGAACGAAATTTTACTTTTCAACAGCAAAAAGTTCCTTTAAAAAATTGATCATGAAACTAATGAAAATATAAAACGTATAAACAATTTAGTATGGCATTTTAAAAATTATATAAAAATTGTATATGATTACATTACTTAAATGCCATTAATTGAAAGCGTTTTAACAATTTTCTTATACAATTAAATTGCCTTGCAATGTGTAATACTTGCAATTTCGTGTTGAAGGATTTCGTAATTTTTGTATATGCATGTTAATCATGAATTGATATCGCTTTTGTTAAAATCTATTATCGTCAGCTAAATCATAACACATGAGCCATCACAAATCGTTGATATGTTCGTAATTGTATTCCGTATGCATATTGTTAGAAACAAGAGAACAAAGAATCAATATTATGTGCGTTGAAATTAACATGGTTATATAATTCGTATAGGATACAAGGCCTCGTTGATTACTCTTTACAATGCCTAAATCAAAGCGCTTACAAAAACATTGTGCTATTATTATCATCTGATAAAATAACAATCTACAGTTCGTTCTATATATTATTCCATACGTCGTCTTGCATTCATCTCTTGCATTCATGATTAGTAAAATATATTTATAACGTTGTTTATCAATGGCATCGCTGTCTGTACTGTTATTGTAAAACAGTATACGAGAAATAAAGCATTGTTTCTTTCTTTATGATTATTTTGTGGATATACATAAATTCTATTTTTCTTAATTAACATATTAATATATTTTTTTCTCCATACATTGTGTGTACATCTATATTTATATATTGTATATTGGTTTATTTTTTCGATTTATAACACTGAAAATTTGCTTATCAAAATGATTTTTTTATCTCTTTTAAATGATAAGAAGATGTAATTGCAAATTTTTTACGGTCATTCTGATCTTGTTGCTTTCAGTTAAACTAGTGCAAGTCATGCATATCAAAAAGAATAAAGTGCAACGCTAACAAGAAATCAATTTTTATATTATGAAACGTGACGAGAGGCAATTGCTTTGGTATCCACGATTATCTCGAATGACGTTAAGACTCACCCTTTGGAGAGAGTTCGTTATTGTCTCCCAAGTAGAATGGCCCTTGGCGCATCACGATCTCGTGAACGATTATAGCAAAGCTGTACACGTCGCCTTTCTGAGTGCCTTCGGGCAGTTGTCTCTCCATCCTCAGCAATTCCGGAGCTGTCCAAAGCTGTTCTGTAAACACCAAATTTCCTGCTCTAAAAAATCAGATCAGATGGAGCGGTTGAACGCAGTCTCTTCTCCCTTTTCCACGCGTTCGATGATTATTGTAAATATAAATTATAAATCGAAACATCGTCAATATCAAAAATATTTGTCGCGTTTAAAATTTTTATTATATCAGAAATTATTGATACCTGTTTTTCCCATGCGTTTATACTAAACGTGTGTGTGACATGCGACAAAATATTTTTTGTCCAAATAGTTAAATTGTCAAATATAAGTTTTATACGTTTATTTTGAATCTAATATTATCTCTATTTCTCTGTCTGTATTTCGCGTTTGAAAAATATTTGGCGTTGCAACACGGAAAAAAAATCTGGTAATAGTTACTAAACATTGAGTAAAATAATTTCAATTAAATTTTCGATATAATATATATAATCGAAAATAACTTTATTTTCCTAAATATTTCGTATTATCAAATCAATAATATAATCAAGTTTGATAATAATTATTAAATATTTAGAAAAGTAAAATTATTTTTTGCTATATTAACCGAATATTTAATTGAAATTATTTCAATCAACATTTGGTAACTATTAATAGATTTTTATTTTAGTGTGTGATTTTTGGAGAAACATTATCGCTCAGGAATACTTAAGTCTGGATCTACAATAAGTGTTTTAAGCCTTAAGTTGTAAGAAATTGACCAATTACAATCGAATGCGAGGAGAATAATTGACTACGATTCGTAGTTCCATTTCTTATGGCTTACCTCACAAACACAATAAAGTAGTAAATCTTAAAGCGAAGAGCATATATTCTCTTACATAACGCATAAAATACGAGGCATAAGAAAATCAACCAATCAAAGCCCTTTATTTTAAGGAAAGGAAGGAAATAAAGTACTTTGATTGGTTCATTTTCTTATGCCTTATGTGTTATACATTATGCAAGAGTGTGTATTCCCCGTTTAACATGCATTCTACAATAAGCCATTAGTTATAAATCAGAAGTTAGAAGCTGGAAATTGACTAATCATAGTCGTCAATTTCCAACTTCTAACTTCTGATTTATGACTAATGGCTTATTATAGAATGGCCATAAGTGTTAAGAAATTGATCAATCACAGTAGAATGTGAGAAGAATAATTATGATTAGTCAATTCCTTAAGGCTTATTATTTTATTGTGTTTGCGGACGAAAGGTTTAAAAACCTATTGTAGATCCGGACTAACGGAGGCGTAAACAATTTGCAAATATGTACATACTCCTCCAGTAGGCGTAACTGTTCTTATCGCCATCTGAATCCACATCTGCACTTCTTCTCAACTCGTGCAAGCCGAAGTCGGCGATTTTCAGGACGAATCGTGAATCAACAACGCAGTTTGAAGACTTGAGGTTACCGTGACTCTTCACTTCCGATGCATGGAGATACGCCATACCACGCACGATATCATGTATCAGGGATCCTCTGAACACGCGATCGAGCTTTATCTGCTCGTTCTCTAGTATATCCTGTTCAATAACAAAAGATTAAGATACTAATGTAGCACACATTGTCGGTTCTTATGCGATATTTTTTACATCTAGGTCAAACGTTCGAATATATTGTGCGCTTTAATATTGTTCTATATGCGGTGTATGTCTTTAAATACGTATTCAATATGTATATAAAATATTCTATATTTCGGGCGGTTCTTTTGACATAAAGTTTCTTCGAACAACTGTACAAATTTCATTCGTTTAAAATGTTTATTCGGGCAAGGCAAACTAATAATTCAAACGAGTACTTAAAGTTACATTATAAGGAAGGACAAGTATTCAATAAAATGGAGCTTTTGTTTCGTATATAGGACGCCTGCTATGCTTATAGACAAATGCATTAATAGTCTAGCTTAGTTGTACATATGCTTCAGGTATTAACACAGTCATATGTATATTGCATCGTTCTCGATATTATATGACATACAGTATTCGATATACAGACATGATACTACATATACAAAATGTTTCATATTTTATAACAATATTTTAATCACTTTTTTAACGAAAACGTCAAAGGAGGAATTGTTCTTTATCGCAATATTATATTTATTTTTAATATATGTATATTTTTTGGTGAGTAAGTTTCAAAATATCCTATTGAAATCAACTTGAAATTAACTGAATCAAAATCATAGTTATAAGTTCATAATTATATTGTGGTGTTAATTTTTTTTATTAGAAAAGGATTGCCATCTCAAAATCAAATCATAAGTTTTGATACGTTCTGCAGTAATGTATGTCTATCTTGCCTTAATTTGATGACACGTGGGACATAATTATTTACTTGGTTGCTCATCAAAACTTTAAATCAGGACATGAAATGCAATTCACCTGGAGAGATCCTTTGGGGCAGTATTCGGTTAGGAGACAACAATGCGGCGGCTCGAGACAGGCACCGTAAAATCGTACAAGATGATCATGCTGGAGATCCTTCATCTGTGAAAGTCACCAACATCACCACTCATATGAATTAAAGCCCGTTACATGCAATCGGTTACTGGAGAAGAAATTACGAGGAGAGAAAAATGATTTATTGAGAATCGTTATTGAGAGAATTGCGAAGTGTATGCTAAAGAGTTATGTTTTACAAATTGAAATTAACAATAATTTATGAAGCTCGACATGCGTTTGCGAAGTCAGCTACTTACCCGCTTTAGCTCCAGCAACAAGGGTCTTGAAATCTCCACTTTATTCCTCGGTATGAGTTTTATTGCGACTTTCGAGTTCTGAAACAAATCGCGATTTTACAGTCGATGGAATTATTGACTGACAGTTCTTTGACTGCCTCGTAAAAATCGAATGCCCATGAAAAAGAATATACATATACACACATCTCTAGTGGAAATCTCTTTATACAATAGAAGGTTCCAAAAATGCTCATGTCTCATGGGTATATATTCGTTCCAAATCTTTCCATCATCACGAGATTTCTAGCAGGGATGTGTGTGTACACACACATACACGTACACACGTACGCGCGCACACACACACACACACACACGCACGCACGCACGCACGCACGCACGCACGCACGCACGCACGCACGCACGTGCGTTTTTTATCAGGTAGAATACTTTTTATTTTGACACGTAAAATCTTCCTTGACATCTCTACTTTATAGCCGTCAAGTTACAAGTTGTTATCTTTAACAGTTGAAATATAGCTATACAGTTTAAATATGGTATATAGAGTGTAAAGCTCAGTATACATAAATTCGATAAATGTTAAATATCGAATTTTTGTTATTCAGTATCAAGGAAGTTTCGTGAAAAATAAAGAAAAAAGACAATTTTAAATCTTACTTAAAAAAACTTTTTTAAGATGCAGTCGTG